CACAACCACTACCACCCTCTACCACCATCACAACCACTACCACCCTCTACCACCATCACAACCACTACCACCCTCTACCACCATCACAACCACCTACCACCCTCTACCACCATCACAACCACTACCACCCTCTACCACCATCACAACCACTACCACCCTCTACCACCATCACAACCACTACCACCCTCTACCACTATCACAACTGCTACTACCCTCTACCACCATCACTACCACCCTCTACCACTATCACAACTGCTACCACCCCTCTACCACCATCACAACCACTACCATTGCTACCACCCTCTACCACTATCACAACTGCTACCACCACTACTACCCTCTACCACTATCACAACTGCTACTACCCTACCACCATCACTACCACCTTCTACCACCATCACAACCACTATCACAACTGCTACCACCATCACTACCACCCTCTACCACTATCACAACTGCTACCACCCCTCTACCACCATCACAACCACTACCATCACTACCACCCTCTACCACTATCACAACTGCTACCACCCTCTACCACTATCACAACTGCTACCACCCCTCTACCACCATCACAACCACTACCATCACTACCACCCTCTACCACTATCAACTGCTACCACTCTACCACCACCACTTTCATATTTTTCTACAAACTTTTTCTTAAATTGTGTGTTTCTCACATTCTTTAGCAAAGGGCTGGCACTAGAAGTTTTCTTTGGAGCCATGGTGACTCATTCAGCAGTTGCAAGTGCTAAAACAAATGGAATATCATGAAATGTATTGTATGAACTCGTGGGATCATCCTCACTCACTGATAAACAATGGCGCACTGGCTGGGAATGGAGTGAGGCTGCTCGGGGCTGTGCACATGTGTCTGAGACAAACTACTATTTGCGAATCAAATGACGATTTTTGAGTCAATGTTTTGATGAAAAAAGTTACGAAAATTATGACTTTCGAGCCTTATGAAAAACGAGGGTCCACTGTACATATTAACATGTATCTCTGTCTCTCCTACGCTCCAATGAGTACTTGTTCAAGACTTGAAGGCATCCTCAGTAATTTAGGTGCTTTACTGGTTCAATGCGAGCTGTAAATGATCTCTATTTGTTCCAGCTGATATTTCTCCTGCTTTGAATGGGGCCGTCAGCACTGAGCAATATTCTAAATGAGGGAGCACTAGCAATTTCAAGAGTGTCACCATTGGTGTTATTTCCCTTGTTTTGAAAGTTCTCAATACCCACCCCATCATCTTTCTGGCTGTCATGATCTTTGTCTTGTTATGGTCTTTGAAAGAAAGGTCAGCTGACAATTATTCACAGGTCTTTTAAGTGTTCCTTTTGTTCTATTTGGTGACCCTCTAGAGTTTTGTACATGTTGTTTCTTTTGAGTTCTTCATTCTTTCCACACCTAAGCAGCTGGAACTTACCACCACTGAACGTCATGTTGTTCTCCACTGCCCACTGGAAAACCCTGTTTATGTCTTCCTATAATTTCTGCCAAAAGTTGCTTATATCTCACCCTAACTTCCTCCTCCCTTAGTATATAAACTTTCACCTCTCTCTTACTGTTGCCATTTTCCTTTTGTCCCATCTACTTCTTACTCTAACTGTTGCTACAACTAGATAATGATCCAATACAGTGGACCCCCAGTTATAGGCCAACTTGGTGATAGTCCGGTTTTTCGGCACTCAGTTATCGGCCATTAATTCAGTGATCGGCTGTTTGGGACACGTCCGTCTACCAGCTGGGGCCGCTTGTGTGTCAGTTTGGCTGTCTCTCTCAGTGGCTGAGGAAGCTTCTGCTCATACATCCAAACATTTTGCTTATTTCCCATAGTAGTTTGTGTTAGTTTTGCATTGCAACTGTGAAATAAGTAACCATGGATCCAAAGAAAGTTCCTGTGGTAAAGAAAGTGAGAAACACCATGGAATTTAAGCGTGAAGTGATAGAAAAGTTTGAGAGTGGTATGAGGGTGCTGGAACTTGCCAGGATGTACAGCAAGAATAAATCAACAATTACATCCATCCCGGCAAAGATAGAACAAATCAAGGATGCTAATGTTGCAAAAGGAGTAACTTTTCTAACTAAACAAAGGCCACCAATAATGGAAGAGATGGAAAAGTTATTATTATTGTGGATTAAGGAAAAAGAATTAGTGGGAGACAGTGTTGTGGAGTCGAGTATTTGTGAGATGGCAAAGAAAATTCCTGGAACAAGTGTTGCAGTTTGTGAATTTAGGGCCAGCAAAGGATGGTTGGATAGATTTAAGAAGCATAGTGGCATACACAGTGTTGTAAGGCATGGCGAGGCTGCAAGTTCTGACAATTGTGCGGCTGAAAAGTATGCTCACGAATTCCAGGATTATGTAAAGCCTGAAGGATTCGAACCCCAACAAGTATTCAATCGTGACGAAACAGGCCTGTTTTGGAAGAAAATGCCAAACAGGATCTACATTACCCAGGAGTAAAAGGCACTGCCAGGACACAAGCCTATGAAAGACAGGCTTACTCTTTTGTTGTGTGGTAATGCTAGTGGGGATTTCAAGGTGAAGCCTTTACTCATGCATCACTCAGAAAACCCCAGTGTTCAAGAAAAACAATGTCATGAAGAATAGATTGTGTGTAATGTGGAAAGCTAATCATAAGGCATGGGTCACAAGGCAAATTTTCAAAGAGTGGGTTAATGGGTTTGGCTCAAATGTGAAAAAATACCTCCTGGAAAAGAAATTGCCACTCAAGTGCCTCCTGGTACTGGACAATGCTCCTGCACATCCTCCAGACTTGGAAGACCAAGTGCTTAGGGACTTCAATTTTATAAAAGTGAAGTTCTTGCCTCCTAACACCACTCCTCTCCTCCAGCTCATGGACCAGCAGGTCATTTCTAACTTCAAAAAACTCTACACCAAAGCAGTTTCAAAAGTGCTTTGAAGTGACCTCGGACACTCAGCTGACCCTAAGAGAGTTCTGGAGGAATCACTTCACTATCCCCCATTGCATAAGCCTTATAGGTAAGGCTTGGGAGGGAGTGACTTCTAGGACTTTGAACTCTGGAGAAAACTGTGGCCAGGTTGTGTGCAAGAGAGGGATTTTGAAGGGTTTGAGGCTGACCCTGACCCTGCTGACCCCGTGGACCTTATTGTAGCACTGGGGAAGTCCCTGTTGTTGGAGGTGAGTGGCAAGGATGTGTAAGAGTTGGTGGAGGACCAAAGGGAAGAGTTAACCACTGAAGAGCTGCAAGACCTTCAACTCGAAAAGCAACAGACAGCAGCTGAGGAACTTGCTTCAGAGGAGGAGGAAGAGGGAGTGAAGGAGGTGCCTTCTTCATTGATTAAGAACATTTGTGCAAAGTGGAATGACGTGCAAAGTTTTGTCGAGAAGTCCCACCCTGACAAAGCTGAAACAAGCCATATCTGCAACATGTTTAGTGACAAAACCCTGTCCCACTTCAGGGAAATCTTAAAGAGATGCCAGAAACAGAGCACTCTGGACATTTATTTTGTGAGACAGGGGTCCAGTGACTCAAGCTGGTCCTAGTGGCATTAAAAGAAAGAAGGGAAGTAACCCCAGAGAAGGCTTTGCTACCTAAAGTCTTTATGGAGGGGGATTCCCCTTCCAAACACTAACTCCCCCTCTTTCCTCCTCCCTATCTTCCAGAAGCCAGTATTAGACTTCAATAAAAGTGTGTAAAATTTATACAGTAATTGTTAAAAAAATTATTTTTGTGTGAATATTTTTGTCTGGAACGGATTAATTGTATTTACATTAATTCTTATGGGAAATATTATTTCGGTTTTATACCATTTCAGTTTTCGGCTGACCTTCTGGAGCAGATTACGGCCGATAACCAAGGGTCCACTGTATATCCATTGCCCTTCTATAAACATGTACATCCTGAAGCCCACCCATCAACCTTTTATCCACCAACACAAATGAACTACTTTCATTACATGCTATATCGTATCTTGTATACTTATTTATCCTCTTTTTCATAAAATATGTATTACTTATTACGAAATCTCTTTCTATACAGAGTTCAACTAAAGGGTCCCCATTTTCATTTACTCTTGGCACCTCAAATTTACCTACTACTCCCTCTACAACATTTTTACCCACTTTAGCACTGAGATCCCCAACCACAAGTACTCTCTCGCTTGGTTTAAAACTCCCTGTACACTCAACATTTCCCAAAATCTCTCTCTCTACACTTCTCTCTTCTCCAGGTGCATAAACCCTTACTATAAACCACTTTTTGCATCCAACCCTTATTTTACTCTACATAATCCTTGAATTTATACATTTATATTCCTTCTTTTCCTGCCATAACTTATCCTTCAACATTATTGCTACTCCTTCCTTAGCTCTAACTATTAAAAACCCCTGACCTAATCCTATTTATTTCTTCCCACTGAAACTCTCCTACCCTCTTCAGCTTTGTTTCACTTACAGCCAGGACATCCAGTTTCTTTTCATTCATAACATCCACAATCATCTCTCTTATCATTTGCACTACAACCATGCACATTCAAACCTCCCACTTTGACAGTTTTCTTCTTTTTCTTTTTAGCAGGCCATATGAAAAAAGGGTTACTAGCCCATTGCTTCTGGCATTTTAGTTGACTTTTACAACATGCATGGCTTATGCAGGAAAGATTCTTATTCCACTTCCCCATGGATGTGAAAGGAAAAGTAATAAGGACAAGAACTATTAAGATAAAATCAAAGACAACTCAGATGAGTGTGTATACATAAACGTGTACATGCATATGTAGTCTGACCTAAGTGTAAGTAGAAGTAGTAAGACGTACCTGAAATCTTGCATATTCCAGGTAAATACGTACAAAGATACATCTTAAAAGATAACAATTTGGTCAATTTTAAGAATAATGCAATAATTATTCTGGTATGAGCAGGTGATGTTTGTATTTATGTATTGTCTATTGATCATATGATTAAATAATACAAACATTAGAAACACTGAACTGTGTGAATACTCACAAGGTAGATAACTGGGAGAGTTCTGAGAATGTTTTGTTGGAGAGAATAGTGATCTGGTTGTTGCTGAGGTCACTGCAAATACAAGTCAATAAGTAACTAAATGGCTTATAAAGGATTTAACTTATTAAATAATGTATTACTGTATATCAAGAATCAAGTCACAATACCATGACTGGAACAATGCACCAATAACCTACACATAGCAGATTGAAACTTATGATGACATTTCGGTCTAACATGGACCATTAATTAGCGATTAGCTATTTGTATAATGTACTATATCTACATTATGTTTTCCCATAATACTCACAGGTAAAGCATGTACCCATTTCTTTGACAACACTATAGTGTCACTTGATGGGGTAACATTTTCTTCTACATTCATAAGGCCTATCATTATTTTTATGATCCATCAATATTTTTTTTCCACCCTTCATTGAATGTTGTCTTTCATTTCACATTCCCCATCTAGATGGTATTCTTCCCATTAGTAACTGAGGGAACAGGTCAATAACTTCCATACTCGCTACATAAGCAAACTTATACCAATGAAACAGGATGAAGACATTATATGACTGCTTTATTATAACTAATGTTAATCACTAACTTTATAACAATTTCAATACTAATATTTAAATACTGTACTTACAGCCTTTTCAAGGTCTTAAGATGCTTTAAACGTTCAGGATCAATTGTTTTAATTTCATTGACATCCAGGTACCTAAAATTATAAGAGAAACCTATTATGGAAATCAAAATATATTTATTTAAAAAACAAAGCAAGTCTGACTGGATGATGAGTATAACACTGGCTGTCTCCCACTTGGGTATGGAGACCCAAAAAAGAAACACTTTCATTTTTGTTCACTATCATACAGGCACTCTGATACTACAGTTCAGATGACCCTCCAAACTGAAAATACCCCCACCCCTCCTTCAAAGGGCAAGTACTGTACTTAGCAATTCCAGGACTAAAGTCCAGCTAACTGGTTTCACAAATGTTACCTCACTCACATTCCATTAGCTCATCAAAGTCCCATAAACTATTTGCCTCCAATCACTTCTATCTATACACATCTATACACTTATATATGCTTACATATGCCTGCTGGATGTCCAAGCCCCTCGCACACAAACCCTTTACCCCCTGTTCTCCCAACCTTTTCTAGGGTGACCCCTACCCTGCCTTCCTTCCATTACAGATGTAAATTATTACTGTGGAAATATGAAATAAACCAGTGACCAACAAGATTCCCCAATTTATAAAATATGTACAGCAGAGGTATTGTTTTTTCCACACACACACACACACACATCTCACATCTTGAAAACAGAACTTGCTCCTGCCGATTCCCACCAAGGAAGGGTGGCCCGAAAAAGAAAAACTTTCACCATCATTCGACTCCATCACTGTCTTGCCAGAAGGGTGCTTTACACTACAGTTTTTAAACTGCAACATTAACACCCCTCCTTCAGAGTGCAGGCACTGTACTTCCCATCTTCAGGACTCAAGTCCGGCCTGCCGGTTTCCCTGAACCCCCTCATAAATGTTACTTTGCTCACACTCCAACAGCATGTCAAGTATTAAAAACCATTTGTCTCCATTCACTCCTATCAAACACGCTCACGCATGCCTGCTGGAAGTCCAAGCCCCTCGCACACAAAACCTCCTTTACCCCCTCCCTCCAACCTTTCCTAGGCCGACCCCTACCCCGCCTTCCTTCCACTACAGACTGATACACTCTTGAAGTCATTCTGTTCCGCTCCATTCTCTCTACATGTCCGAACCACCTCAACAACCCTTCCTCAGCCCTCTGGACAACAGTTTTGGTAATCCCGCACCTCCTCCTAACTTCCAAACTACGAATTCTCTGCATTATATTCACACCACACATTGCCCTCAGACATGACATCTCCACTGCCTCCAGCCTTCTCCTCGCTGCAACATTCATCACCCATGCTTCACACCCATATAAGAGGTTGGTAAAACTATACTCTCATACATTCCCCTCTTTGCCTCCAAGGACAAAGTTCTTTGTCTCCACAGACTCCTAAGTGCACCACTCACCCTTTTCCTCTCATCAATTCTATGATTCACCTCATCTTTCATGCGCATGTAATAATATAAAAAAAGAATACAATATCATGGGATCTAACCTATGACTCACTGAACGTGACACACCATTTATACTGACACATTCAAAGGGATAAGTGGATGCATCTAAGCCGCCTTCCAGATAAGGAACATAGACCTAATGAATATTGGTTAAGTTTTTTCACTTACAGCTCTGTTGTATCAGGTGGAATGCCTCTGGGTATTTGTGTGAGGTGGGCCCTAGAGCAGCGAACAATTGTGCCCCGACACTGACACTCTGGTGGACAGTACACAGATCCAACACAGTCCTCATCATTGTCATTTTCACCTACAAGACCAAGTCATAGTTAAATGGAATTTCATATATTTGTAACAAGGAAGAAAAGGCTTGAGCACACAGCATAAATTCATATACAGATGACTACAAAAGTAGAGAGGTAGAAGAGTACATTACCTTTAAATTCTCTAAATTCTATATCATACCCTCATACTAAACATTTATGCAATTAAGAAGCAATGCAAATCTTTACACTCACTTAATTCTATATTATATATAACATTTAACATTTTACTGATTAGAAATGCAAATCAAGCCTTCAATACTCTCATACAAATACTGACCAGAGCATGTGAGTAGCTGCATCTGAATTTTTGTGATAGGAGTGCCCCTGAATGGTGCTGGAAGGTGGCAGGTTGGAGGAATGGCTTCCTCTCGCTGAAGTGCCCACTCTGCCAGCCACAAAGCTCGGCAGTCACAGTTTAGAGGGTTGGACGATATATCTCTATCAAGTGGAACATCAATGGAGCAAAGGCATTAGTTAATATTTTTTTTTTTTTTTTTTTTTTTTTCAACAAGTTGGTCGTCTCCCACCGAGGCAGGGTGACCCAAAAAAGAAAGAAAATCCCCAAAAAGAAAATACTTTCATCATCATTCAACACTTTCACCACACTCACACATTATCACTGCTTTTGCAGAGGTGCTCAGAATACAACAGTTTAGAAGCATATACGTATAAAGATACACAACATATCCCTCCAAACTGCCAATATCCCAAACCCCTCCTTTAAAGTGCAGGCATTGTACTTCCCATTTCCAGGACTCAAGTCCGACTATAAGAAAATAACCGGTTTCCCTGAATCCCTTCACTAAATATTACCCTGCTCACACTCCAACAGATCGTCAGGTCCCAAGTATCATTCGTCTCCATTCACTCCTATCTAACACGCTCGTGTACGCTTGCTGGAAGTCCAAGCCCCTCGCCCACAAAACCTCCTTTACCCCCTCTTTCCAACCCTTTCGAGGACGACCCCTACCCCTCTTTCCTTCCCCTATAGATTTATATGCTTTCCATGTCATTCTACTTTGATCCATTCTCTCTAAATGACCAAACCACCTCAACAACCCCTCTTCTGCCCTCTGACTAATGCTTTTATTAACTCCACACCTTCTCCTAATTTCCACACTCCGAATTTTCTGCATAATATTTACACCACACATTGCTCTTAGACAGGACATCTCCACTGCCTCCAACCGTCTCCTCGCTGCTGCATTTAATTTATCATTAAATAACAAAATGAAAATCAATCTTGCTGGTACTGTTCTTGGGCTCCACCTATTAACCACAAACTGACAGATGTGATTCAACCTCAATCCCACATTCTGAATCTGCCACCGCCACCAAGACTATCCCTAGAACATTCCGTTAATTTACCACCCACACTTTGTAGCAGCTCTTTATTTAACTTCCCTGACTTATTTTGGTATTAAATTTCCATTTGTGTCCCCTCATTTTGGTTCCACTCCTTCCAAGCAATATCTTCAACCACCTTGTCCAGACTTCCAAATATCTTAAACAGTGTGACAGATGCTCTAAGCACCTTCATGCCTCCAGTGTTGCTAGATTTAAGTCTTTCTCCACAACTCAGGTAATTATACTCAGTCACAACCAGGTTGGCTGTGGAACAGGAAGGCATGTACAATGAGAGAATAAAGTAAATGAACCTCGTAAACTTGGAGGGAAGAGCCAGGGTACATGACAACCGAGATAGTCAGAGGCACTGCAAGTTGATTATAGGTAGAGGCAAGGTGATGTACCAAAACCTGACCCCCATCCCCACCCACAGCTCTAAGTGCAGCTTAATAAGCACATACCAAAGATGATACATACTGTGCAGACAGAATCCTTGTTAAAGTTACTGAAAGCTATGTCAATGATGTTATCTTATTTATGTGGATCTCCTATGATTAGTTTGAAGTAATGTTCACCCCTAAGTCCTTTGGCCTTACTGATACTGGCAGCTGCCACTCTCCTCAGTTGATATGGCAATACAGCCTCTCCTCAATTAATGATGAAGTTCTGTTCCTAAGACCACATCATTAAACAAATTTGTCGCTAAGTGAGGAGCATACTATAATGGAAGTGAGTTTGTGTCAACCATTTTTGATATTGTTTTAATATCACCTTTGCACCATTTATAACATTTCTGGTATATTTTTAAATGTTTATACAGTACCTGGGTATAGTGGACCCCTGGATTAAGTCGTCATCAGAATAAGTAATATTCGGAATATTTATTTATTTATTTATTTAGTAACACACTGGCCTATTCCCACCAAGGCAGGGTGGCCTGAAAAAGAAAAACTTTCACCATCATTCACTCCATCACTGTCTTGCCAGAAGGGTGCTTTACACTACAGTTTTTAAACTGCAACATTAACACCCCTCCTTCAGAGTGCAGGCACTGTACTTCCCATCTCCAGGACTCAAGTCCGGCCTGCTGGTTTCCCTGAATCCCTTCATAAATGTTACTTTGCTCACACTCCAACAGCACATCAAGTATTAAAAACCATTTGTCTCCATTCACTCCTATCAAACACGCTCACGCATGCCCGCTGGAAGTCCAAGCCCCTCACACACAAAACCTCCTTTACCCCCTCCCTCCAACCTTTCCTAGGCCGACCCCTACCCCGCCTTCCTTCCACTACAGACTGATACACTCTTGAAGTCATTCTGTTTCGCTCCATTCTCTCTACATATCCAAACCACCTCAACAACCCTTCCTCAGCCCTCTGGACAACAGTTTTGGCAATCCCGCACCTCCTCCTAACTTCCAAACTACAAATTCTCTGCATTATATTCACACCACACATTGCCCTCAGACATGACATCTCCTCTGCCTCCAGCCTTCTCCTCGCTGCAACATTCATCACCCATGCTTCACACCCATACAGGAGTGTTGGTAAAACTATACTTTCATACATTCCCCTCTTTGCTTCCAAGGACAAAGTTCTTTGTCTCCACAGCCTCCTAAGTGCACCGCTCACTCTTTTCCCCTCATCAATTCTATGATTCACCTCATCTTTCATAGACCCATCCACTGACACGTCCACTCCCAAACATCTGAATACATTCGCCTCCTCCATACTCTCTCCCTCCAATCTGATATCCAATCTTTCATCACCTAATCTTTTTATCCTCATAACCTTACTCTTTCCTGTATTCACTTTCAATTTTCTTCTTTTACATACCCTACAAAATTCATCCACAAACCTCTGCAACTTCTCTTCAGAATCACCCAAGAGCACAGTGTCATCAGCAAAGAGCAACTGTGACAACTCCCACTTTATGTGTGATTCTTTACCTTTTAACTCCCCACCTCTTGCCAAGACCCTCGCATTTACTTCTCTTACAACCCCATCTATAAATATATTGAACAACCAAGGTGACATCACACATCCTTGTCTAAGGCCTACTTTTACTGGGAAATAATCTCCCTCTTTCCTACATACTCTAACTTGAGCCTCACTATCCTTGTAAAAACTCTTCACTGCTTTCAGTAACCTACCTCCTATACCATACATCTGCAACATCTGCCACATTGCCCCCCTATCCACTCTGTCATACGCCTTTTCCAAATCCATAAATACCACAAAACCCTCTTTAGCCTTATCTAAATACTGTTCACTTATATGTTTCACTGTAAACACCTGGTTCACACACCCCCTACCTTTCCTTGTTCATCTGCTATCCTATTCTCCGTCTTACTCTTAATTCTTTCAATAATCACTCTACCATACACTTTACCAGGTATACTCAACAGACTTATCCCCCTATAATTTTTGCACTCTCTTGTGTCCCCTTTGCCTTTATACAAAGGAACTATGCATGCTCTCTGCCAATCCCTAGGTACCTTACCCTCTTCCATACATTTATTAAATAATAGTACCAACCACTCCAAAACCATATCCCCATCTGCTTTTAACATTTCTATTTTTATCCTATCAATCCCAGCTGCCTTACCCCCTTTCATTTTACCTACTGCCTCATGAACTTCCCCCACACTCACAAACGGCTCTTCCTCACTCCTACAAGATGTTATTCCTCCTTGCCCTATACACGAAATCACAGCTTCCCTATCTTCATCAACATTTAACAATTCCTCAAAATATTCCCTCCATCTTCCCAATACCTCTAACTCTCCATTTAATAACTCTCCTCTCCTATTTTTAACTGACAAATCCATTTGTTCTCTAGGCTCCCTTAACTTGTTAATCTCACTCCAAAACTTTTTCTTATTTTCAACAAACTTTGTTGATAACATCTCACCCACTCTCTCATTTGCTCTCTGTTTACATTGCTTCACCACTCTCTTAACCTCTCTCTTCTTCTCCATATACTCCTTCCTCCTTGCATCACTTCTACTTTGTAATAACTTCTCATATGCTAACTTTTTCTCCCTTACTACTCTCTTTACATCATTCCACCAATCGCTCCTCTTCCCTCCCACACCCACTTTCCTGTAACCACAAACTTCTGCTGAACACTAACACTATTACATATTCGGAATGAGTGACATTTTTTCGTCACAATATTGGCTCGGTGAACGTCACTGAACTCGGTATAAGTCATTCGTGTCTAGGCCTGAGCGGCCCCGACACTCCAAGTACAGCCAGTGTGCCATTGTTTACCAGCCAGTGAGGACGATCTCACGGGTTCATACGATACATTATGTAATATTCCATTCTTTTTACTGCTTGTAACTGATAATTAAGCCACCATGGGCCCAAAGAAAGCTTCTAGTGCCAGCCAACACTTTGGTAAAAAGCTGAGAGATAGGCGACAATGTGCCTTTTTCAGCAATTATGCAATATGTACAATACTAAAGCAGCAGGAGTCTATAAAAGCTATAGCATCAGCCAGTGATAAAGTGTAGCAAGTAAGTTAATCGATAGAAAAAAAGACAGCACAAAACTGACTCCTCCATTCTTGCTGGAGGTATATAGGGCTACTGACTAACCCCCGCCACCTCTGCTGCCGCCTTCACCACCACTATGTAAGGCTTATCTTTCAGTGGCCCTTATACACCCAACAACAAAACACACCACCACTCGTGACATTCTTAACACCATATTTTATTCATTCTAGAGTATATATCATGTTTCTATGTTATTAATATTTTTTTTATGTCATATTAGATGAATTGCGCTAGATAAATAAGTCGCAGAGCTGATATTAGTGTCATATTGCAGGACTATCTTGTCCCGTCTCCCAACACAGTTCCTAACATATGCCAGAAACAGACCTCTCTGGAACACTGATTGACAGGGGTCCATTAACACTCAAGCTGGTCCTAGTGGCATTAAAAAACAAAGAAGGGAAGTAACCCAGGATAAGGACTTGGTACCTGAAGTCTTTATGGACGGGATTCCCCTTCAAAACAACTGTAAACTCCTCCATCCTCTCCCCTCCTCCTGTCTTCCATACATCACCCTGTCTTCAATAAAGGTAAGTGTGATGTTATTAGTGTTTTATTCTTCATGTATCATTGTCTTCTGTGTAGGTAAATATATATTTCATGTAGAAAACATTTGTTTTAATAATACTTTTGGGAGTCTGAAACGGATTAATTGGATTTCCATTATTTCTTATGGGGAAAATTAATTCAGAATAAGTCAGATTCAGGATAAATCACTCTCTCTGGAATAGATTAATTACGTAATCCGGGGGTCCACTGTAGTAAATTAGTAGACAGCAATCGCCCAGGGAGGTACTACCATCCTGCCAAGTGAGTGTGAAATGAAAGCTTGTACGTAATTGTTTTACACGATGGTAGGATTGCTGGTGTCTTCTTTCTGTCTCAAACATGCAAGATTTCAGGTAGGTGTTGCTACTTCTACTTACATTAAGGTCACACTACACACATTACAAGCAATATATAAAAATAACAGACCCTTCGGGGTTTTCTTCTATTTTTCTTACTAGTTTCTTACAGAGTTCTTCCTCCGTATGCCATGCGTGTTGTAAGAGTCGACTAAAATGCCAGAAGCAAGGGGCTAGTAACCCCTTCTGTATATATTACTAAATGTAAAAGGAGAAACTTTTGTTTTTCTTTTTGGGTCACCCTGCCTCGGTGGGATATGGCCAGTGCGTTGAAAGAAAAAGTTTATACAGTAGTGTACTGTATATTGAAATGAGTAGAATAGAGGAAATTAGGTCTAATATACATTATTTAGTTATGAATACTGGTCAGAGAACCCATCGTAAGTCCGGGGCATTGGTAAACGAGTACATTGCTAATTGAGGAGAAGCTGTCCTGGCCTCATTTCTCTTTGTCTTCATCACCTTACACCTGCCTTGGTTGAAATCAAGAAGCTATTTAGTTGATCATTTCAGCATTCCTCTTTTTTTTCTTTTTTTTTTTACTATATTCATACAAGATTTGCACCATGTGCATGTTTTCTGTTAAACACACTGGCACCATCTCCCACTGGGGTATGATTTAATTCCCAACAGACTGCCTGCTGATGAGAGACAGAAAATGATCTATGAGGAACATCACTTGTTACTTCCCCCTACTTCTCACTGTGTTTACTTTCTATTTGTTACTTATTTTTTTTTATTCAGTGGAGTACCTCCCTAATGGCCTAGTCTGCTCTATTTTGTTATTTAGAAGATCATCCAACAGCTACTCCTGTAGCTACAAACAGGCACTGTACTGGAAATACCAAAATAAAGCAACAGAATTAATAAAACTCAATATACATGAATGTGAAGAAATTAAAATGCTTCCTTTCCAACTAGGTAATGCCTGCATTTAGTGCCTCATTATTACTGAACAAAGGAGTTCAATAATAATGAAGACAGACATAAGTTGCAGAAAAAGAATTTATTGCAACAAAGTTTCACTCTGTGCATAACTTTAAAGCTCTAAAGAGCAAAATACCACCACAATTAAAGCCTGTTCTGTAACTTTTGTCTTCGTTTTCATGTGCTATTTCATCAATGATCAATGAAGATGTAAATGGGTTGTTTACTTTTAAGTTTTAATTCTTAAAATGTATCATCTGTTATGAGCTACTGGATTTCTCAGCATTTCTTTCTCAAATAAAAGTTCCATCTCACCTTCCCACAAACTATGACTAAGTATGACATACAGGAAGTTCATCTATACAAACAGTGTTGCATGTACTCTACTCACAGCTATTTAGTAAAAGATTAAGCAAGTTTTAAATTATATTTTTACTTGGGTACTGGGTTGAATAATTTCCTTCTTAAACCTTGGATTTTTTCCAAACAACTCAAAATATGATAAAATCTTGGAACACTCCCTGAAAATTCAGCAATGTATGCATTAACAATACAGTAATTACATACTGTACACAATACACTCAGCACACCACCAGGGAGGCACTACTGACCTATCATACAAATGTGAAACGAAAGCCTGTTAAACATTTTGCATTCAAAAAAGGTTGCTGGTTCTTTCACAGTTTCATAAATATGAAAGACTGCAAGCAAATCTTACAAACTTCTACACACACTGAATACAATATGCAGTCATCTCTATTCTCTTACATGTTTCTTAGAAGAGGCAACCATCAATATGGTAAAGGGTTAAACCTATTCTCAAGCATGCAAGTTTCAGAAAAACACTGGTCCACTTACAAATTAGTAAGTGCTGGTAGATGCTCCATCATCTTCCTGGAGAGACAGGATATGTGGTTCCCTGCTAGGTCACTGAAAAAAAAACAAGTAATTAGTGTTTCCATTAGATACACAATACATTAAGGAAAATGCTCTAACAAAATAATAGCACAGTAGAGAAAAATTAGCTTTTGGTTATTTCTAAGTAAAAAATCAAGTGCCAAATCTTTAAATACTGACCGTATTACAAGATAAAATGCATATATTAAAAATCAATATTTTCAAGAATGGTAACAACAGAAAATGTGACTAATCATATTTGTTGGTTATTATTTATTTCTGTTAGATGAAGCACATTCATACACTAGTTAGCATTAAGCTTTTAGGACAAGTTTACTGACTAAATTCCCAACTAAACAGTGTTCACGTGTTTGACCCAGTGCACAGCAAAATTAATGGCCTGTAGAAACCTTAATTGCAATAATGAAGTCTTAAATGAATAGAGAAAAATTACAGTACAACAGTAATCACTGTACAATAGTCATCACCATACATTAGTAATCACTGTACAAGAGTAATCACTGTACAATAGTAGTACTTTTTATTTTATTACTGTATCTTACTTTCATTTTTTTGGGGGGATGGGGGGACTGGTTATGTAGCCTAAACATGCTGACTTGCTACATAATATACTTAACTAGGTAAGTTACAGCATACACTAAATACAATTAATATAACATAAGTGTTCAATAGTATACTCTTTTACAGTTGAACACTGTAAAGGAATATGATATGTTAAAGAGAAACAGTTTACACATTGTTTAAAATAATAAGAGTTAATACTGTTTAATGAATCAGTCAACTTTTGTTTTTACAATTTCACTTGCAGTTAAAATTACCAATGTACATATTCGCTTGATTTACTCATTTTCAAGAGGCAAGTAATTAAGCTTTACAGTGGGTTTGTGTAGCTGAAGCACAAAGCAGATCCCACCACTACAGCTAGCCGAGTATATGTAGTTAGTTGTTAAAAGTGGGCAGACCAGGTGTGGAGGCTCACATCCAACCACAAGATCAGATACATTGGTATCTAAAAGGACAATTTGTAACATGATTACTTAGAACCATGTCATCCAATATTACTACTGCATTTTAAAATTTAAACAAGCTAATATTCAATACCAGTCATCAGCATTTACATACAAAAGCCATACTTCCATAATTTCCATCACTATTTAACAAACTTATGTCATTCTCCAATTCTTGGTCTGTCCCATTCTTGTAAGTGCTGCCTGAAATTGGTCACTAAGACCACAAGCTCAAAAAAAAAAAACCCACTCCTTAGCAACAGCACCATGGTCCCCTAAGAACATATATAACAAGACTGGCAAGCACTACATTAGGAAAATGCTACGAGTCGCCTTGCAGGCCCCCGACTTACAGCTGGGTCAGGGCCTTGACCCTTCGCACTACGCTCTCAGGCATCTGTACCAGTTTGTTGTGGGACACATTGCTGTAACAAGAGACTTTCAACTTAGAGCTTTAGTTACTAATTACTTTTGTTAAAAAAAAATATTTTGGGATAGAATAATAGATCCCTAGCAAAGAAACCCAACCCACTGTACCATTTAGAGACTAAAGAGAATACACGTTATGAAAATTGTTTAGATGTTCTGTGTATCATAAATATTGGAAGGTGTAACATGTAATATGCCTGAAATCTAACCCTTCTAATAAATACCATCTACAAAAACTAAAAAGCAAAATACAGTTATGGTATTAAAAAAAAAAAAGGGAAGGCAAGTGAAGTATTACTGTGCTACAGTACTTGCATCAGTTTTCTTCACTCCTCTGCAAAAGCACCACTCTAAAGCAACATCTGCAATTTTTGATGAGTAAACAAAGCCAGGAGTTACAGCAAGAACTGTAGTACTCACAGATGAGTGAGTGCTCGTGCACCTCTGAAGAACTCAGGACTCAAACTTGTAAGACGATTATGAGAAAGATCCAAACGATTTAGTTCCTTTAGTCGCCGAATGCTTGAAGACCCATCCAGGGAAAACAGCTGGTTGTAGCTAAGGTCTCTGAAGGAAAGGAAGCTATTATGAAACATTACTTGAAATAAGCAATGATCTCTCCTATTTGAAGTAGGAAATATTTCGATACACAAACATAATTCCTGATTATTTTGAGAGAGTGCCTAAAAAACAAAAACATTATTTACCCTAATTTTATCTAGTAAACTAAATTTTTTTAGTCTTTTGAATTCTTGATTTCTTCTACATATTAAGTAAGGTAGTAGGTTGGTAGACAGCAACAGCCCAGGAAGGTACTACCATCCTGCCAAGTAAGTGTAAAACAGAAGCCTGTACTTGTTTTACATGATGGTAGGATTGCTGGGGCTTTTTCTGTCTCAAACATGCAAGATTTCAGGTATGTCTTGCTACTTCTATTTACACTTAGGTCACAATACACATATATGTACAAGCATATATATACACACCCCTCTGGGTTTTCTTCTATTATCTTACTAGTTCTTGTTCTTATTTGTTTCCTCTTATCTCCATGGGGAAATGGAACAGAATTCTTCCTCAGTAAGCGACGAGTGTTGTTAGAGGCGACTAAAATGCCAGGAGCAATAGGCTAGTAACCCCTTCTCCTGTACAAATTACTAAATTTAAAAAGAAAAACTTTCATTTTTCTTTTTGGGCCACCCTGCCTCGGTGGGATATGGCCAGTTTGTCGAAAGAAAAAAAAAGTATGACTACTGTTTACATATTAATAGGTACTGACAACTTATGGGTAGTGCTTTACAGCAGCTTATTCACAACTGTTAAGCTTTTGTGCCTGAGCAGAGTAAATACAGTACCAGTAAATGCATACTTAAATAAATACAGTAGATCATCAAGTAACACAATCTGTTAGCACATTTTTGCTATAAAATAGTTGCAAAATTATGGCATAGTTTAGGTGAGCACACTGTAAATTTGGTTTACAAGGTGGAGTACCTTCAAGGGTAAATATGGTACATGCTGCATCCTTTTCCCTCCATTTCACAGTGAGCCTCAGGCAAGTCCATTGTCTTACAGGGAGGCCTATATAATGTACACAACCTCCATGTGTGTTAGAAGTTATCAAGGTCCCTGAACCAAAACAACTCCTTTCTTTCATCAAACCAGCTATATCCCACCAAAGCAGGGTGACCCAAAGAGAAAAATGAGTTTTTTTAAATTTAATAATGTATATAGGAAAAGGGGTTACTAGCCTCTTGATTTCAGCATTTTAGTCACCTCTTATGATATGCATGGCTTACAGAGGAAGAATTCTTTTCCACTTTCCCATGGAGATAAGAGGAAATAAACAAGAACAAGAACTACATTGTATTAAGAAAATAGAGGAAACCCAGATGTTTGAGTGTGTGTGTGTGATATATATATGTATATATATATATATATTTTTTTTCAACAAACCAGCCGTATCCCACCAAGGTAGGGTGGCCCAAAAAGAAGAACAAACGTTTCTCTTTTTAAATTTAGTAATCTATACAGGAGAAGGGGTTACTAGGTCCTTGCTCCCGGCATTTTAGTCGCCTCTTACAACACACATGGCTTACGGAGGAAGAATTCTGTTCTACTTCCATGGAAAATTTTATTTTATATATATATATATATATATATTTTTTTTTTTTCAACAAGTTGGTCGTCTCCCACCGAGGCAGGGTGACCCAAAAAAGAAAGAAAATCCCCAAAAAGAAAATACTTTCATCATCATTCAACACTTTCACCACACTCACACATTATCACTGCTTTTGCAGAGCTGCTCAGAATACAACAGTTTAGAAGCATATACGTATAAAGATACACAACATATCCCTCCAAACTGCCAATATCCCAAACCCCTCCTTTAAAGTGCAGGCATTGTACTTCCCCTTTCCAGGACTCAAGTCCGACTATATGAAAATAACCGGTTTCCCTGAATCCCTTCACTAAATATTACCCTGCTCACACTCCAACATATATATACAGTGGAACCTCTACTTGGAAGTTTAATCCATTCCATGACCTTGCTTGCAACTGGATTTGCTCGTTTGCAGAGTCAATTTTCCTCATTTAAATTAATTGAAATGCAATTAATCCGTTCCAGTGGAATTCTGTGCTTCAATAATTTCACTAATATCAACTCTAAGGCTTATTTATCTATCTCACTTCATCTAATATGACATAATAAACAATATAAATAACATAGAAACCTAATGTATTTACTCTAAAATGAATAAAACATGTAATTCACGTAGTGGTATGGGCGGTGTCGGTGGTGGACGAGAGTTTGTCTGGAGACTGGACAAAATACTTCTTTAATAATTTCGCTAATATCATCTATATGGCTTATTTATCTATCACAGTTCATCTAATATGACATAATAAACAATATAAACAACACAGAAACCTGATATATACTCTAGAATGAATGAAATATGTCATTATATATGTAGTGACGTCGGCCGACGAGTGTTTGTCTGGAGACAGGGCAAAATGTTTCTTGAATACAGTGGAACCTCAAATATCGAACTTAATCCGTTCCAGGAGTTAGTTCTAAATTCGAAAAGTCTGAAAAGCAAAGCAATATTTCCCATAAGAAATAATGGAAATACAATTAATCAGTTTCAGAAACCCAAAAACATTCACAAAAAAATATATTTTATAGAGATTAATTATAGTTTTACATACACACAACAAATATAGTGTTCAATTATGTATTAATAAATTTAAACAAACATAAAATATTTTACTTACCTTTACTGAAGACTGGTGATGGCATCTGGAAGATAGGGAGGAGGAGAGAGGGAGTTGTGGTTAGTGTTTGGAAGGAGAATCTCCCTCCATGAGGACTTCAGGTATCAAAGCCCTCTCTGGGGTTACTTCCCTTCTCTGTCTTTTAATGCCACTAGGACCAGCTTGAGAGTCACTGGACCCCTGTCTCACAAAATAACTGTCCACAGTCCTGTTTCTGGCACCTCTAAGTTTTCTCTAAAATGGGACATGGTTCTGTCACTGAACTTGGTGCAAAGATGGCTTGTTTCAGCTTGCTCAGGGTGGTACTTCTCCACAAACATTTGAACATCATTCCACCTCTGTATTATTTCCTCCTTCACATCTATGGTGCTTCTCACTTTCTTTACCACAGGGGTACCACTAGCAAGTTTCTTTGGGCCCATTGTAGCTAATTTCACAGTCCCACAAACACTAAACACAATGAAATACACCTACCATCCGACTTACAACCTGCTCGACTTACGACTGTGTTTTTTATGCCAAATTTCTGGGAAATAAACAACTATTTGTGTTGTACACAGTGTTTATCCTAAACCTTACAGTATAAAATACAGTACTAACAACATAAAAAGTAAAGTAAAACAATAAAATAAAGTCATTACAAAAATGTTTTGTTGATATTCAGTAGTAAAGTTAGACATATGACCATTTCGACTTACGACCGGTTTCTCGGAACCGAACTCAGTCGTAAGTCGGATGGTAGGTGCAATCATAAAATCTTTGAATGAGAGCACAGGTTAGTGTTCACTCGAGCATCAACAAAACCAGACTGGCTCACGGCACCTGCGTGGGGACACGGACAGAGCAGGCTGCCGGACAGGTCCAGTACCCAGCGGTTCGAAAATAGGGGCAAAGTTGCTTCGAAAAAAGGGCTCTATTTTCGAAGAGTTCGATAAGCGATACGTTTGAAATTTGAGGTTCCACTGTATTTCGCTATCATCAACTCTACGGCTTATTTATCTATCACAGTTTTTTTATTTTATTTTTTTTCTTTATTAATTTGAACATGATACATAGAAGTACAAGGAAATACAGTGGTTAAGTGTAACATGCTAAAGCCCCTTGTATGCAGAGCATTATGGGCTGGCTTAAAATTAACTTAAGATTAACTAAGCAATGATATATTCAGTGGTAAACATTGTTGTAAACAGTTAACAATTTAGCACAAATGAGTATTTCAAAGACAGGTCATATGGTCTTTTACCGTGTTGCTATGCATTCAGCAGAATGGAGTATTCTGTTTGATTGAGTCACAGGTTAAACATTTATGTGATACTATTATTCAGTTTTTATTTGGTTGTGGGTGAGTAAGTGATTTCTAAGAAGAGACATGAATTTATAAAGTGTTTCTTTTATATTCACAGGTAGTGAAATCCAGATTTTTGGGCATTTTATGTGCATCGAGTTTTTTCATAGTATGAGATGTTCATCTAATATGACAAACAATGTAAATAACATAGAAACCTGATATATACTCTAGAATGAATGAAGTATGTCATTATATACATGGCGGAAGCGGCCCACAAGAGATTGTCTGGAGACAGGACAAAATACCCCCTTGAATATTTCGCTATCATCAACTCTCCAGCTTTTTGTCTATCACAGTTCATCTAATATGAAATAACAAACAATATAAATAACACAGAAACCTGATATATACTCTAAAATGAATAAAATATGCCATTATGTAACAGGTGGAGGAGGCCACAACCACTCCCTCTATGTTGAGGTAAACACTGCCATCTAGTGATGGCCTTTTGAAGCTGTCTATTATTATTATTATTATTATTATTATTTATTATTATTATTATTAGTAGTAGTAGTAGTAGTACATTATTTTTATACATGTATTATTATTACACGTATTATATTATTCTTTTTTTTTTTATTAGCACACTGGCCGATTCCCAAAAAGGCAGGGTGGCCTGTAAAAGAAAAACTTTCACCACCATTCACTCCATCACTGTCTTGCCAGAAGGGTGCTTTACACTACAGTTTTTAAACTGCAACATTAACACCCCTCCTTCAGAGTGCAGGCACTGAACTTCCCATCTCCAGGACTCTAGTCCAGCCTGCCAGTTTCCCTGAATCCCTTCATAAATGTTACTTTGCTCACACTCCAACAGCAGTCAAGTATTAAAAACCATTTGTCTCCATTCACTCCCATCAAACACGCTCGCGCATGCCTGCTGGAAGTCCAAGCCCCTCGCACACAAAACCTCCTTTACCCTCTCCCTCCAACCTTTCCTAGG